CCCCCCCCCTGCTCTTTTAAGACCCCACGTGTGCATAGGGCCCTTGACTCCAGTGTATTTTTGTCTTTCTATGATGTAAGCATGACTTTGCTTCATGGACCATTGTGAGGCTTTCTTCATTCTGGACCTGAAGAAAGCCTTGTATGTAAAACAAGCTGGGTCTCATCCTACTAGACATGTAAATGGCTTTTCCCTCCCCTATTCCTGGAAGCACGGAGGCGGCATGTTAGGGCACATGATTGATTACTTTGTTTTTTTTCAGGGTATTTGTTGCAAGTCTCCCATCTTTCAAGCTAGAGCATATTACTCAGTCTCATTTTAATTGACACAAAAAAGAGAGCTACTCAAGCCTAAAATAGTCTTTTATTTGCATATTTCATGTTTGTTCATTGGATCCTTGCAGTGTCTGGCAGCAGGGTGGCATAGAGCCCTTTCAGCTTCATGCCTGAAATCCTTGTTTTTTGTGGTTTTAAGCTCTCCCTAGTGATACATTTCCAGAAAGTTGAAAGGGCTTAAACTAAGCAACTCGGACTGACTTCAGTGGGAGTGGCATCGTTAAAACCTATCTAGCTCGATGTAGAAGTTATTTTATTTTGTTGTGGGTGTTTGCAGCAATTTTTTTTTTTTTTTTTTTAAAGAAAGGTATATTTAAATAAAATGTTATTAATCCTGAGGATACTTTATACCTATTTTGTTTGCAATTCATGTATCATTCACAACATTGACTGAGTCCTTTGTGTCTATAGCCCATTGTGTCAGTGCAGCTTATGAAATATAAGTACCATATCTGTACTCAAATGCATTAGTATAGCTTAAATGAGAAACAGTTATGGTTCTTATTAAAGCCCCTTACAAGAGCATGTTGGGTCCAGCATGTTAGGACCATGTAAGGTCCATTCATTTTAACATTTTTCAAATGTTTATAAGTGCCTTGTTCACATTTTGGGCTAGCTGTTGCAACATTTTAAAGTAAGAGGACTGTGCTCGTGTTTTTAAAATGAATAGCACTGAGAGCTATACAATTTATTTCTTTTTCACTGCTGTAATTTAAAATGTAGCTGCACAGATTTGAATTCAATTTGACTGAAGCATTACTTGGCTCTCAGACTCAGAAGTCTATCAGGTTTCACTCTAGAATTAGTTGTATACCATTATTTTACGAACCCAAGAAAATGTATAATATATGCACGGTAACTGGGGGCATCTGACTCTCCTCATATCAGGGGTCTAAATTAGGGTTGCTTCCTTAACTGGTTGGACTAATGTCTACTACTGCTGTTGGCTCCTGAGGGTAGTCCAGTAAAAGTCTTATTTTTAATATATTTGGTGAATATTGAAGTTTTTGGCTTTGCCTGTGGGATCAGGGTAGAAAACATTTGAATTTTCAAAGAGAGAAAAATCTGTAAAATGTTTCTAAAAATGCCAGTTTGGTTAGTTTTTCAGTTTTGGGAAACATTTTTAGCTCATCAGTATAATGCACTTGCCTGCTTGAGGTGTACTGCATTCAGTCATTGGGGATAAAAGAGAAATGTTTTGGCTTGTGTTAACTGTGAACCACTGGAAACCTGGAAAATGCATTATTTTCTGATGTGTTTTCAAGCTGGTTATGATTTCCCATCAGAGTCCCAGTAGCATGACTTCACTACAGTGCTTGTTATCCTGATGACTTGCTATGGGAGCTGATCTAATCAGAAAAGAATTGCTACAATATATCCTTTAAAGAGGGAGTGCCCTTTTACTAAATTTTGAAAACAACTGCATTTGCTGGTTTTCTTAATCTAATACAAGATATATTATCTTTTGTGCTTTTTAAGGTGAAGGGTCTTAATCACTTATTTTAATTCAGAGGCTTATCCTTGCTTCTGGAATGCCTTTGCAATCATTTGGGGCATTATCAGGGTGCCTAATTATCTGCCCCCAGCTGTTGAATACTGTAACTAGCAGAGTCAGCTGTAGAAAATTCATTGCCTGTCTTGGAAGGCTTAGAACCACATGATGCCACATCATTAAGAAATGCTGGCCATTTGATTTAGAAAAAAAAGAGGAATTAAAAATAAGCACTGTTAGAATGTAGTAACATGAAGTTTTAGCCTTCATTTTTTTTTCTTGAGTCATAGGAGGACATGGACCTGCAAGCCCTGACAAAAACAAGGACTCAGTTGCTTTAACAAATGAAACCCAGATGCTTTGTAGGTCTACGATTGCTGTCTGCTGACCATGTCTTTAGCTGTGACAGTAAATAATTGGGCAACTGTTCGCTAAATTTGAGATGGCACAGAGGAGCTGTTTACTATGGGGAAAAAATAGTGTTGTGTTCTGATTCACAGTCAGTTCAGTTGCTGACCATTTTTACTTGATCCTTAAAAACTGATGCACAAAGAGAATTTTTAAATCATCTGGATGAAAAAATCACATTACCACAGCTGATGCAGCAATCATTGAATAAAGCTACTTATTCACAGGAAGAAAACAGCTTCTTTGTTAGTAGTTAATCTAGAAATGGTCAAAGGCAATTCCTTTGATAGTGGCAAGAAAACCTATTTGATGTGAAATCTACAATGTATTTGTACCATTTTCCATCTTCCATTTTGCAAATAATGGTTAGCAGAATTGTTAATAGTTATCGGCTTTAGCCTATACACTATTGGTGATTTCAGTGGGAGTTCCACATGGAGTGAACTTGGGTGGGGGAGGAGAGCTGAAGATAATTTAAAATTTTAGCTTTTGTTGTTTTGTTTTTTTTTTTTTTTAACAGAAAAAACATCATTTTTTCTTATACAACTCACCTGGATTTACCAGATACTATATTTTCCTATTAATAGGATGGATTGTTGCATGCCAAAAAAGTAATTTGAATGCCGTCTATGTTGTTAGGTGCATTGATTTCAACAGGGTTGTAGGTACTACAAAATTGGAGTAATGAAACCAGGAATCAGGCCCTACATTTGTAATCTGTCCAGTGTTATTTGTTGCCTAGCTAGAATATTTTCAGTTGTTAATTCTAAATGCTGCTTTCATAAGAAACTAGGGCTTTTTTGTGTAGCTTTTATAATTGTATAAGGAAAGTTTCTTCTTTTAGCATCACTATTGAGATGGTAGCATCAAAACAGTTACTCTTTCTGTCTGCTCTGAAACAAAGGGAGGATTCTTAAATATTTTAAAATGCATTTGAATTTCACTAGAACATTCTCACAAAGCTGCATGTTATTTAAGTACACAAAATACACACAGTTTTCTGGGCCATGCAGACTCCAGGGCTACTTGCAGACATGGACGCCCCCTCCCCCCACAAAACGGCACTTTAGTTTAAACTTGGTGCGCTCCCACACTGAGTCCAGCGTGTGCCCAAAATAAGCAGCGTGTTAGTTGCACCTGGCTGTCCCTGTGTCCATAGAGAGTAGGTACTTTACTGGGACTTTTTGGCGGTTTTATCTAATAGCTGATTCAATCAGCTTTAGGTTAAACCCCCCAAAACCCTGCTGAAGTGCCCAAACTATATAGATGCTGCAGAGCTGGGTTGAACTAACATGCTGCTGCTTTTGGTAAAGTGTGTTTCTCCCCCCCCCATGACTGTCAGTGCCTTAGAATGCTATGGGTTTGGGTGTATAAGTTGTATATTTGACAGAAAATTAATGCAGTCATGGCTTCCCATGCAGAAACTTGCAAGCTTGGGGCCTGACACCTTCTGAAAGTGGAAGTATCAGGTCAGTAAGTTCTTATGAATTGATTACTTGAATGACTGCTTCTTTTAAATCCTTTATGAATGGTTGTATGGCAAATGGGCATTATTTCCATTTTAAACTTTAGGGTCTGTATAGGGGTGAAGACTCGGGATGGGGCAGAGAATAGCAGATTTTATTAAATAATATTTTTTTTAGCTTTGCCTTTCTTTTTCCTTTTATCAAGTGTTCTGGCCATTTTCATATGTTTTGTGGGAACAGGTCTATGCTTATGCTCACAGAAACTTAGAAGTTAGAAATGGAAAAGACTTATCAAGCTATCTGGCAGATTTTTGTTGCCTGGCTCAGGATTGTATTTAATTTAATTTGTATTTACTAATGTCGTATTCACTGTAACTTTAATTGATGATGATGGGTCAGAAGAAGTTGTTTATGGGATCCACTGGACATGATATCATGATTAATATTAAGGAAAATAGTTGCCAGTGGCTGGCACAGTCAGTGCCTGCTGGCTGACTTCTGGAAATAACATCTCAGCCAGGGAAGAGACTACAAGAGCAACTTTCAAATGTTTAGTCAGAAGGTATCTAGTTTAATGTACGATTTCTGGGTAACTAGACATTCCTCAAAGTCCAGGGATACCGTTCTCTACAGATAGCCTTTTACTGGGAATAAAAGGAACAGTCACGCTTTTGAATCTGTGAATCCATATCTCCATCCGCTGCCTGCTGCTTGAAGGCACATGTACAATGAAAGACCTTGCCAAGTGCAACAAATTGTTCAACATCTTCATCAGTGGCTTGGATGAGGGGGTAAATAGCACCCTGTTCAAATTCGCAGACGACACTAAGATGTGGGGGGATGTGGGCAAGCTAGAAGGGAGGAATAGGTTGGAATCGGACCTAGACAGGTTACAGGGGTGGGCAGGTGAGAACAGGATGGGTTTCAACACTGACAAGTGTAAGGTACTGCAACTGGGGAAGAAGAACCAGCAGCATACCTACAGGCTGGGGAACTCCTGTGTTGTCAGTGCACAGGCAGAAAAGGATCTTGGAGTCATTATTGATGCCAAAATGAACATGGGCCGGCAGCATGGAGACGGGGTCAGGAAGGCCAACAACACCTTGTCATGCATCCACGGATACATCTTGAGCAGGTCCAAGGAGGTGATCCTCCCCCTCTGTGCGACACTGGTCAGGCCGCAGTGGGAGTACTGCATCCAGTTCTGGGCGCCGCACTTCAGGAGGGAAGTGGACAGCATTGAGAGGGTCCAGAGGAGGGC